ATGCAATTGTATGTAGCTGACTTTCAGAGCTCTTGGGACTTACTGTAACTGGCTTTCTTTATGAATTCTAATTAAATCACAAACGCGAGTCACATTCCTGGAGCTGTGGGTTTAAGTGTTATTGATCGGTAATTGATAGTGGCCTCTGTCTGAGGGTGGATCGATCATTTGACTTAAAAAAGATGCTTTATCACAAAGCTAAGTGTAAAGCAGTTATTTATTCATGAGCTCACTAAAGGGCGATCGACATCTCGCAACATTCCTTAAAAAAAGTTGATAGGTTGCTTTTAGATATGTCACAGCATGTTATAGGAGTCCAGATCTTTTTGGATTCCTCTGAAACCTTGCAGGTTTCTGGTGATGCGCAGGAGGAGAGGACTCAGAAAAAGAAGTACAATTGCTTTAAAAATCCTACAGACTGTGGGATTGTCTCTATGGGTCTGGCAGACCGACCAACACAGTTGCTATCATCATCTACAGCAAACACACTGTGTCAGGCCCCCTTGCAACAACTGCAGAATGAATCAGTGTAGTATAGTGCATTTTATACCATGTATCCATCATAAGAGCAAAATGTGCATCAGGAGTCAAAGTTAACTATAACTTTAGATTGCAGGACTGAGGACTGAGAAAGAAATGGTGAAATAAAGATTAATTGTTTATCAATTTTTAAATAGTTCCATAAGGGTACAGGTGTGCATAAAATTATTTTGAAGCATCATATATTGGAACATATTCAGCATTACGAGTTACACAACCTACGATCTTGTTCTCCCTAGCGATTTGAAATAAGAGCTTTGGCGCCATCTTGTGGGAGAAGATATGGATTGAGGGCCTTACCTTAAACTCTCTACTACTTTTTATGAAAATGATATAAATAATGACGCTTGTATATCGTCTTTCTGGACGCTCCACACACTCCAAAGCGCTTTACAGGTAATGGGGACCCTCCTCCACCAATGTGCAGCCCCCACCTGGATGATGCAACAGCAGCCATAGCGTGCCAGTACTCCAGCTCTCAGTGGGGAGGAGAGCAGAATAATGAAGCCAGTTCATAGATGGGGATTGTTAGGAGCCCATGATTGATAATGGACAGCAGGAAATTTGGCTAACAGTGTCCCCATCTCTGTACTGGGGCATTAGGACCAACACAGAACACAGGGTGAGCAGCCCCTGCTGGCCACACTAACACCTCTTTCAGCAGCAGCCTTGGTTTTTCCCAGGAGGTCTCCCATCTGGGTACTGACCAGGCTCACACCTGCTGAGCTTCAGTGGGCTGCCAGCTGTGAGTTGCAGGATTCAGCTGCTGGAAAAAGCTCTTTAAAAAATTGCTCTATGAGCCATGTTCACATTTTTTACCGGCACTTACACAGGACAGAACATGACCTGACAAGAACATGTAAAGTTTTGTTAGCACTTGTATCACAGTAGACCGCATAGTAGCTGTCAGTCTTTATAGTTAAATAATAGCCTACTTCCTTGCTTTGGCTTAAGTCTTTGACCATGGATTTGACAGAACAATATATTCATGTATATTGACAAATAGTGGTGTGGTAATGGTTTAATTACAACAGCTCAATTAAGAGTTCAATAATATTACACAAGTGTGGATGCATTGCACATAATACATCAACAGGTGTTAAAGGCAGATGTGTTAAAATCTCGAATGCAGCAGTTGTGCAGTTCGAAGGTGAGCCACCATGAGGCTGGACACCAGGTGTCTCCCGGGACAGTAGCTGACAACAGGAGCAGTTACCCACAGGTAGAGATCGTTCTTTCCCCAGAAGCGTCTGTGTCTGAGGGGCTGAGGTCTTTAACCGCTGAACAACAAAGGACCCTTTGAATACGTAGCAAAACAACACCTGAAGTTTGTTTTCTTACTGTATTTATGGAGCAGTTCCTTAAAATGGAGATAAGCTGGCAAAACAGTGCTGCCGTCTGCCACCATCTGCCTGGTGGAGATCTGTCTCTCCTGTCCTCTGGGGCCAGTCTGCTTGTACAGAAACAAACAGGGCATTTAGCAAAATAGGGAAGTGAAGCTCAAATGACAATCTCACACCAGTTTCAGGGAGACAAGCCCGGACTTCAGCTGGGAGCCCTGATAGCGGCAATAAAGATTGCATGGCTATCTGTCTTCGCTGTGAGCAGACACACTGTGCCCAGGTTAATTTGTTACAGATGGTTTTAAGCGACTTGGGCAGAAGACAGCACAGACTGTCTGTCCGTGGGCAGACCTCTGGATACCCCTTCTTGTTGTCATTTCGACTTTCTATATAGAAAAGGGGAGCATTGACCATCAAAGGAATGTCAGCCGTGCCCCTCGTTAAGTCACTTCTCTGGATCCACACAGGGGTCCCATTTAATGATTGCTTGTTTGTTCCCAAAACTTGAATTTGGGAAACGATTCAGAAATGGTCAAAACAAAATGCTAACACCAACTCACGTGTGACGCTCAGAAAAAACAGAACATTCCGAGTGCGTTTTCTGGCCACCAGACAGTTGAGAAACTCACCACCAGAAAGTCTGAGAAAAAGGCTGGATCTCCGGGCCTCCATCGTGGGGATTTCTACAGGATTCCCCGGACAGGCCTTCGTTGTGTAGGCCCTGTGTGTGAGGCCCAGTGTGAGTACGCAGGGGCTGCTGCATCTTGCGTAGGCGCTCCAGTCGGCTCTTTTTCAGGTCTGACAGCACTGGAGAGGGAAGGTATTGATTTCAGGTGTGTGGGAGAAAAGCCTCTGTCCCCCAACAACAGGCTCATTCATCGCCTGCCAAGCCCCGAGTCCTCAAGCACAGGGGGAGCCAATCAGATCTCCCGGAGGGAAGCACGCGCCGCCCGGAATCTCAGGATCGGAACAATGAGGAGCAGGAAGCCAGTCCTTTCTGACGACATGGGACCCCGGGGCTCCCATTGCCCCTCTCTGCGTGTGAGAGGGAAGAGGGAGGGCTGGCTTCTACGTGAAGCTAGCGGAGGTGTGACGTGTGTCTGGACAGCGATCCTGCGTCTTGCTCTCAGCTCTCCGGGGCTCCTGCAGCACTTTGAAAGGGAGTGGGTCTCAGAATGAGTACGTCTTTGAGAAAAACAGAAAGGAAGAGTTGCTGGTAGTTCACGTAGAGATCCTGGGGGAAAAGAAAGTCTTAGACTGCCATGAACAGCTAGCACAGTTTTTAACCCTCTGTTATTTGGATTTTCTGATCTCTGCTCTTTGTTTTCTTGTGTTGCAGAGGAAGGCTGGTGTGTGTCACTGATACAAACAATGTCCTGAGATCTTGATGACCAAGGAGCCAGGATCTTGGTTTAAAGTCTCATTCGAATGACAGTACCTCCTACAACACTGTTATCATTGTTATAAGGGCATTGTTTTGGGAATTCTCATCCAGAGTGAAGACTCCCACTTACTGCTCCTCAAACACCACTTACAACCTCCTGGTATTCCTCAGAGGTCCTTGTCCCAGCACTGACCAGGCCCGACATCTCTTAGCTTCTGGGATCTGAAGAGATGGGACTACAAGAGTGGAATATAATTGCACTCTTGTAGGGGCATCTGAAAGTGTGGTTTCTTGCAGATCGTGTGATATGCAGCTCTTCCTGTTTGGGTGAGGTGAGCGCCTGTTCCTCTTGGGGGGCAGATGAGCTGCATCTTTCCTGCTCCAGATCTACAGAACTAAGGAACGGCCCCTCATTGTTTTCCCCTCGACAAGCCACCATGATCCCCTGCATGTCCAAAGGCCATCTCACCTCTTCCAGCAGTAGAACAACAGCACCAGTGAAGGTCGGTTTTCTTCAGCCTGGGATGACCGATCTCAGCTGATCTGCCTGGGGAGGTGACGCAGTGACCACCAGCCACAGACTCTGACGCAGTGTCTATTTCACTCCCACCTTTTACTGCAAACAATGAGCAAATTCTTTCCAGTTCTGCACACCTGCCAAATAAACTTGTGCAGGTGGCCAGGCTTTCTGTGTGTTTGGCCTGGTTGTTAGGGACTTGTGAAGGAGTGCCTATTTTTAGTTCAAAGGGGATCTGGAGACAGGGAGGATGGATTGGGGAGAGGAGAGGGGGGTGGTGATGCTGGGAGGTGGGGGGATTTTCCGGGTAGAGCCGGAGCTCGCTCCTGATTCTCTGTGGGAGGGTACGGAGGTGTGTCCCAGCTCCTCTGAAGGAGAGCCACTCCTTTGTGAAGCTCAGAAGAGGAGAGAAGGAGCCAGTGTTGACCACCTGCAGGGACAGGCAGTGTGCTCTCTGACCATCTGGACTCACCTGGATACCTGGCCCAAAACAAGGTAGGACAGATCTCCTCTTGCATTAAAGACCCAGAGAAAGGTCTAACTTAAATACAGAGAAAAAAATGTAATTGAGATAACGAAAGCGAGCCGCTTTAATTTAGTGAATCATATGCATGTCTGATGTAAATAATCATATTGTCACTAGATATTTAAAAATAGGATTTTATAAAGTGGTGTTTTAGGATAGGTTTAAAACACCCCTTTACAATGCGTTAACATTCATGTACTGTAATTACTGAACTGTCACTAAGTACAATGGAATAATGCTAACATAATTGTATAATTGTATTTACCTAGTAAAACTAAATTATTCTTATGATAAATACCCCAAAAATACAAAATGATTTTTATTTTATTCTACTTTAAATAGAATGAAACAACACTAGAAATATTGATATTTCTGCTATACCAGAATATTTTAAAGTAATTATCTAATTTTTAAGGTGTTGTGAAATAGTATTACACTCTAAAACAAATTGCAGTTTGATTTTTTTAAACTCGTAGTTTTGAATGTCTTGCATTTCATCATTCAGCAGCATGAACTTCAGTTTTTTTTTAACAACCGAAGTTCTATATTGTCATCAGTACGATGACCACTTTCTCTTCTTACCTCATGAGTATTTTATCTGTTCTGGCTTTAATGTTTTACCCCAGCTGACTCTCAAAAACATTGGAGGGGAACTTCCCAATGGTGTTTTACATCACTGCAGCTCTCCTGATGGTAAGCCCGTGGTCTGTTGCATGGTCATTCCTGTGCCTGGGGCTTGAGAACAGGTCTGCTGTCACAGCCAGTGTCTGTGTCTCTGCAGGCCCGGTGGGTGCTCAGTGCCTCGGCCAGGAGCTGCGATCAAGCTCAGTACCTCCACCCCAACGGCAGCTGCCTGCCCTGTCTTGTGTGCGACCCCGGGGAGCAGTTGTCAGAGGTGACGCACCTCCCCTGCAGCTGTCTTCTTTCTCAGTGCTCTGGTTTCTGAAGGGTCTCATTCTTCTGCTCCTGGTCAGTCGGTGCTCCAGAAGGGGCCTGACCTGTGCGTGAGTTTGAGTGTAATTTTCCTCATGCATTTCGCCCCCTCTCGACGCTGCAGGGGAGTCTGCAGAATAATGACAATCATTCTGTACTCTTCCTGGACACTCCACTCAAAGCGCTTTCCATGTAATGGGGATTCCCACTCCACCACCAATGTGCACTGCCAGTATGCAGTATCAGCTCTCAGTGGGGAGGAGAGCAGAGTGATGAAGCCAGTTCAGAGATGGGGATTATTAGGAGGCCATGATTGGTAAAGACCAAGGGGAAATTTGACCAGGATGCGGGGGTTACACCCCTACTCTTTTCGAGAAACGCCCTGGGATTTTTAATGACCACAGAGAGTCAGGACCTCAGTTTTACATCTCATCTGAAGGACGGTGCCTTTTTACAGTATAGTGTCCCCGTCTCAATACTGGGGCATTAGGACCCACACAGACCGCAGGGTGAGCGCCCCCTGCTGGCCTCACTTACACCTCATCCAGCAGCAGCCTCAGCTTTCCCAGGAGTCTCCCGTCCAGGTAGTGGCCAGGCTCACACCCGCTGAGCCCCAGTGGGGCTGCCAGCTGGGAGCTGCAGGGTGACATGGCAGGAGCGCAGGTGGGGCAGGTTTATCCCGGAGGCCAGTGCGGACGGGCTCATGAAGTCTGTTTTCCAGGACTGCGGCTACGGCGACGGCGGGGCTGCGCGCTGCGAGGCGTGTGGCGAGGGGGAGTACAGCGAGGGCTGGGCGCTGGCGCCGTGCTGGCAGTGCACGCGGTGCTCCCTGCTGAACCGCGAGGAGAGGGTGCCCTGTCAGCCCAGCAGCAATGCCCAGTGTGGCGGCTGCCTGGGGGGGTGAGTCGCCCATACAGGTCTGGCTCCTGCAGACACACACAGAGCAGAGCACGTCACCCGTATGCCATTTCTCAGCAGCGCTTTTCACAGAACGATAAAGAATGGTAAACAAATAAACCGATGCCGTGTCTTTCTATTAGCACAATAGAAAGACACGGCATTTCTATTTCTAAAAGCAAAGCAAACGAAAAAGGCAAAGACTTCTGATTCTTTTTCTCACCTGCTTTCATGGACCTCGTGTTTGGATAACAGGTGTTTTACTGGACTGGACTGGGCACATCTTGTGCAAAAGAGTCAGGCAGCCTGCGGGAGTGCAGCACTAGAGTAGGGCCACTAGAGGGAGCCGGCGCGCTGTTTGCGCCGCAGCCTGCGCTCCTGCCGTGACCCCGCCGCTCTGTGTCCGCCAGGTACTACGAGACGCCGAAGGAGCAAAGTTGCTTGCCCTGCCTCAGCTCCACTGGGGCAATCCGCCGAGAGTGCCTGCCTCCCCCGACAGCGAGGCCGGAGGAGTGGAAAGGTAAAGCAAGACTCCTGCAGAGAGAACACACTCGTTACTCCCCAGCCCTTTAAAACGTGTGGCTGTTTTAATTCTTTTGTGTGTGCGTTTGATAATAACCCCCTTTTAATAAAGCAGGTGAAACTTAAACATAACTGAAAAAGAGCTTGGAATGTAATGTGCATGATAGCGGAGCAATTTGCTCACAGGTCTTGGGTTCTGGGGTCAGTATGCCTTGGAATGCTGTAACTCTTATCAGGGGTAAGGGATTTTCTCACAACAGAAGAATGGAAAATCTTATCTTCATGGATTGAGCTATTGTACTGTTGTTGTATCTTTCAGTTTTGATAAATAAAAGGACGAAAAAGACTCAAACCTTGTGCATCTCAAACAATGACACAGCCCCTATCTTTCAGGTGTCACCCCTTTTCTAGACAAGGCATTTCCAGAGGGAAGTACTGGAAGTGGTGAGTGCACACACGTCCTGTGGCTATTAATTGTGTTTGACTGTAATTATCTGTTTGACTGCTAAATGTCTTTTTGGCTGCCTTGATCAAAGATGACTAAGAATAGTTAACTTATAATGGCAATACCCTGTGTTCTAAAAACTGGAAAAAAATATTTTTCAGTCCTAGAAGCACAATCACAAAGAAGGGCGTAGTAGACATTATTACAAAACACAATAAAACGCAATTATTATTGACGCAAACGCAATAAACTAAGTGCAAACACTAGTCAGGTACGTTCAATAAAATTACCCCTGACAGGACCGTACAACAGACCACTGGATTGACAAGTGCAGTCTAGAAAAGGCGTGTATAATGAGGCACTGCCGAGTCCTGCAACACAGAAGAAAAAGCTACATTTGACCGTTTAAAAACAGATTTCCCCCCTAGTTTTTAATCCCCTGATAAATCCACCTAATGTTTGCTGTGTAGCATTTCACACGCGTAAGTGTTATTCGTAAAACAGCCTGCAGGTGGAGCTCCTCGCGCCACTCCTTCCTCTTGTGTCCGCTGCAGGGGCGGTTCCGGACACGCCCCCCGTGGCTGTGATTGGCGCAGCCTGCGCTGTCTCCGCCTTCTCCCTGGTCCTGCTGCTGTGGGGGCTGCTGCTCTCTGTGGAGCGAATCAGCGAGTGCCACTCCAGAGCGCGCCAGCCCGCCGGCCCCCGTGCCCCCGGTCTGTTTGGGTGCATGACGTCCTGTTGTCATATACAGCGTTCTAGTCAGCCAGACCTGTGCAGTGTGGTGCAGCTGGGTAAACACCAGAGGCCATCACGTCTCAGAACCAGGCAGACCCCTCGTTATCTCACTGCTGCTTTGTAGCCATTTGCTGTCTTATTTTAATTGAAGGACTGTATTAGTTTTGTGCCAGTTTTCTCCAGGCTTGAGAAAACTCATTTCAAGAGATCCATGCTTTGTGGCTGGTGCACAGCTCAGTTTAGTTTTCAGTTCTAAATTCAAAGGCAGTAATCTCTTTTGTAAGTAGGACTGCAAAAAATAACCCTCTGGTCTCCAGGGCTCTAGTGGGCTCTTCCTGGCCTACTGGGGTACAACGCATGGCAGGCCAATCTGGAAATGACGTAATGAATAGAAACTTATCTGAACCTATTCTTCCTGAACGCTTACACCGAACTGACATATCCTGTGCTTGTGTGTGTAGACAAGGAGCGCAAGAGCCCTGGGACCCTGGACACTCCCTCTGGACCACCTGACTGTTCGTGTACCCCAGCCTCCCTGCGGAAACTCCTGCCGTTCGGACAGCACAGCCAGGAGGGAGAGCCGGAGCGGAGGCACCCAAGCTCTGGGGGTCCGCCCAGGTATTGGGGAACCTGCCCTTCTCCTTTCCACTCTGCTCGAGGGCACAGGCAGGAGCAGGCACCTGCTTGTGGCCAGCCAGTTGAAATTCTGCCTTGGCCCAGAGTGCAGTGGAGCTCTGGAAGCTGTGGGCAAAGCTCTTGATAGGAGAGGCAGCAGGGGGTGAAAGGTGCCTGTTAAACGTTTTCACCGCCACGTGCAGATCATTGATGTTCTGACCCACAATGCTGCAGAAGAGGAACCTCCTCGGCCCTTTGATTAAAGGCTGACAGCAGTGAATTGCATCAGTATCGTGAGGTCCAGCCTGAAGGACCCCAAAGTACTTGATACATAGGAGGGGAGCCTTTTCGTCCACCGCTGCAGGGTGATGTGTGGTGGCCTTTCTGCACCAGCAGGCCCACAGGCACTGCACAGTACCTCAGCTGGAGACCTGAGAAACCGAGGCACCAGCTGGACTCAGCAGGGAAGTTTAGGGAGACCAGATTGTGAGACTGTTAACGACTGATCAGCACTTCCTCCATCCATGAGCATTGGTTGGGAGATTGCGATCCAGCTGGTACTCCGCAGAGGCTGACTCTGCAGAGTGATTACTGGGTGCAGAAGCATCTCATGGGCCTGTCCTCTCATGCCTGCTGTCTTCAGGTCCCGTTACACGCCGTGCTCTGAGAAAGTGCCCCCCCCTGCTTCAATCGTCATCAACGTCACCACCAACGTCAAGCCTCCCGGCCAGGGAGGGGGGGGAGACTGGGAGGGGCAGGACGGGCACCACCAGCAGACCCAGCTCTCCCTGGAGGAGGTGAGAGACAGTGACGTCGCCCCCTCCGCCGCGCTGCACTGAGAAGCCCTACCCAGAACTGACCCCCTCTGCTGTTACTCTCTGCAGATGGAGCGCAAGACGGAGGAGATCTGCAAAATAGCGAAAGGTATCGTCTTTCCAGATGTGTCCTTGCTACCACACACACTCCAGGCTTCTTTCAGAGTGAAGACTTTTACATTATGGACGGGTGGTATGAGCTACTTCCTTCCAGTTCACCAAACAAGAGATTGGAGTTAAGTGTAGTAAGTCTCTACCATGTTTTATGTGGCAAAGTACAAAAATACAACTTTGTAATTTGGCCACGTTCCTCAGCCATTTCTTTAGATGCGCTGTGCAGGCAGGACATTTTGCACCTACTGTAAGACTAGTGAACACAAGAGTCACGTTCTAGGTTTTATGTATTTATAAGAACTACGAATGGACAAGGCTACATCACTGTTTTTTTAAGACGGGACAGTGAGGAATATTCGACAGTTTCTGTCTAGTAATATGCAGTTCCTGAAACTGACAATCCATCGACCTCTGTTACTGTTGGACTGCAGGTGTAACTAACTGCTGTCTTGGCCGAAATCTCAGTGTGTAGCAGCAGTGTAGCCAGAGGGTCTGGGATGGTGACGGGAGAGAATCTGCTTGCTACATCCCTGTCTGCAGGAAGAAAAAGGCCTCTCATGACTGATCAATGGACGTGATGCAGAAAACTCTTAACACATAAAATAACTAGTCTGACACGGACTTACAAAAATAAACCCTCAATAATTTAATCAGTCTGTTACTGTGGTTTTTTTTCTAGCCAACACATTTTCTTCTTTAGAGTGTTAGAAGAATGCTTTGCTTAAGTAATGTCTTCCCTGACATTAATTAAGCAAAGCATTCAGTCATTCTTAGTGTCAGGAATACCCACCTGGTGGCCTCACAGCCCCAGTCTGAACCTCACAGACCCATGTTCTGGGAAACCTGTCTCTGTGCCTCCCAGGTAGGAGCCTGGAAGAGCTGGACTACGACAGCGTACAGGAGCTGTCTCTGCTGGTGGACGCAGGAGGCCGTGGGGCCCTGAGGGGGCTGGGCCGGGCTCTGAGCGTCTCGCCAGAGGTTCTCGACAACTTGCACGGCTTCCAGGACCTCTTCCAGTACCTGCGCACATCCACTTACACCCAGGTGCCCCAGCTGGCCTGCGCTGCGGCCTCCCTCCACAGGCCTGACCTTGTTGCTAGGATACACCAGGCCCTGGTCTCCGTGGAGACCACCTCCTACGGGTAGGGTAGCCCTCAGGCCTTGTTCTGGGCCCATCTCAGGCTGTGACACTTGCCAAACTGAACAAAGACTTTCAGAGGAGGGTATCCTTCCCAGGACAAACGAGGGACAGACACAACTAAATATTCAGCAACTGTCTCAAAGTGGTTTTCTCACCTGTGGCTTCCTGTTGGGAATAAACAATTGCAGCAGAGGAGTGCCTGTGTAGGTTGTGGTGTACATTAGGTGACACAGGTTGGCTTCTCACACATTTTCCTACTGTAAAAAAAAAGTCAAGGTCCTTAAAAACCCTCCTCCTGAGACAATGACATTTCAGAGCATGCAATAGGTCAGTAGACGGAACGATTATTGTAAACATGTCATTTATTGCAGCTCCGTGTTGTGGAAAAACTGCTGGCCCTTGTTTTCTGTAAGGTCGTGGGAGTATCAGAGATTTCAAAACTCCAACGTACACGAGAACGGGTTGGTGAACCTGTGGTTGCTGCCTGTAATACCGCAAATGAGTCAAGGAAAAAGCCCTTAGTCATCAAAATGGAACCTTCAGCCCATTAAGATAGGACATTTGTCACTGCTGCCCTGCAAACGCACGCTGGTGACGGCCTGCCCTCTGCACTCCGGCCACCCCTTCTCCTCCACTGCACAGCCAGCCTGAGTGAATAACTCCCGAGCACCCCTGGCCTCTAACTGAACCCCGAGAGCTGCGTGTGTTCTCCTGTTTCCCATGAAGAGCAAATGAGCAGGCTGCTGGGTCAATGATCTGTAGTGGAGATGAGAGGGGAGGCTGTGGTGGGCAGGGGGGGGGGTCAGGCAGGAGAGTGGGGAGAGACAGGGAGGGACAGTGAACTGCAGCTCCTCCCAAACCCCACCCCTTGCCCCTGGGCCTCCCTGAGTCACCAAGTCCGTCCCGGCAGGAACCTGCAACGTGGGTCTGTTCACTCCGCGTGATTCACCCGCCACAGATCTCTCAGACACTCTGAGCCTGGGGGGAAGGCCTGACATGTCAAACCACCTCACCCCTCACACAATCCCTCCCGGCTCTTTCAGGTCGCTTTGTTCCATCCCTATCCCTGTCCACGCCGGCCATCGTAGACTGCCCTTTGCGGTTCTGCTGTACGTGCTTGTGGGTAAACGGCTTAATTTTAGCATCCCCACGACACCGCAGATGGAGGCGTGAGCACTATGTCACTGGCGGGTTTAAGGGAGATCTTTAGGGAGGCCAGGCCAGGCCAGGCAGTGATCTTTAGGGGTTCAGCCAGGACACTGGGGTTAAAGTCTCTACAGCACCGTCCCCTTACAGCTGGATCAGTTTCGAATGCCTGGTCTGGAAGGGAGAGCGCCACCTACTGGTCCACCTACGCCATGTACAGCAGCGACCTGGCTTTCCTTGACTGTCTCCTACCCCAGTATTGACCACACTCAACTTTCCAACGGCCCATCGTGATGAGACAATGAAAGAAAGGAAGGTAAAATGTTTTAAGAAATGAAGATAAGACGTTTTTCCACCTTAAACTGGGGGAACAATAAACACATTGCAAGGCCAAAACCTGAACTTATTTGCACAGCTGATGCACTTCAATAACAGGCTGTTGATGGTGATAGAAGACACTGCAGTTACAACCGCTAATAATAATTTTGTGATTGAATTAGCTTCTTTAACAGTGCAACACTGCAGTCATTCAGCAATTTGGCTGACAGCTTTTTCCTCAGGGTGTTAGGAGTTAATCCAATCGCGGTATGTAAAAGGCAACATTTTCACCTGGTATATTACTGAAAATTGAAATGCTGAGAGTTTGCTCCCAGTCCTGCATTGGTGGTTCAGTGGTAGAATTCTCGCCTGCCACGCGGGAGGCCCGGGTTCGATTCCCGGCCAATGCAACACTTTTTACCAAATTCCTTGCAACTAGCAGTTACGGCAATAAAGTATCGGAAGTCGAAGCTGGGTACGTGCAAAATGACTTATGAAAGCAAAAGTGCTCCAAATCTCTTAGGCGCTCTCGGAACTGCTGGAAAGCGAGTCGTCGCCGTCACGTGGGAGGCCTATGTCTGCGCTCCGCCCTGTGTCCAGAATCATCACCAAGTACCGGGCGCGACTACAGGGACTACAGGGCGAGTTTTAATCGATTGTGGCGCTGTGCTGTTATCTCAATCACTGTACCTCAAGTATAAGCCCCATGTCAAAAGAAATGCTTTCACTAGCACCAGAAAAATAAGCAAATGGTACAACATTAACAAATGAAATTTCATGACATGCCTTCTGAATATATCTTATAACTGCGAGAACCCGTTTTACAAGTTGCATTCTTCTGTGTCCAAAATACATCGCAGAATTTGCTAAACGTTCTTTGTCAGCGACTTGCACGGCCGTTTAGGGCATATAGCATGTATCTGTAGGGGCTGGGTGTTTCCCCTGTTCCAGAAAATAGTTTTAAAACGTGGAATAGTCCCACGTCCCGCCCTAACTAAAACCCCCCGAAGCCTGGTATCCCCCGCAGTGCGCGGCCGTCGGCGCCAGTAGGCGGCGCTCTTCTCCCCGGCCCGGCGTCCTTCAGAGTCCTCGCTCCCGCGTCAGGCGCGCACCCTAGCCGCCGGAGGAGGAAAAAAAAAAGGCGATTTCTGTTAAAGATGGCGGAGGGCGCGATGTCTCTGAAGGGGATGCGGGCGCAAATGGGTAAGAATTGCTCAGCCGGGAGGCGGCTGTCAGGCCGATTCCGTGTGCCAGGAGCCGGCAGAGGCCCCGGGGCTGTCGTGTCCTTGAATCGCACCGGGGTCGGCGAGTTCTGGGGCGGTTTGGGAACTGTTTTGTTTGACGGCGGTTGATGGTGTGAGTTTGTGTAGTGTTGGGAGAGGAGGTGGCGGCGGCGGCGGCGGCGGGGGGGCTCAGTAACTAACCAACTCTGGGGCACCGCTGTGCATAATTACCGAGGGAGGATTAATGAACTGAAAATAAAAGCTTGTAGGGGTGATAGTTACTCTAAATAAAACGCTGGTGGTTGCTAGCGGGCGATGTTTTGCTTGAGGACACAAATCGCGCTGGAGGAGAACTGAGCTGAAATTTGGGGGCCGGTTGACAGCCGTTGTCTGGCGCCAGACGGGAGACGGCAGACTTGATTCCCCCCCACCCCCGGTAGGAGCCAAAATCCGACTTGATACCGGTGCAAAACGAAGAAACGGCACCGCCAGTACAGACCCGAGAGGCTCCTGCCCCATCCGGAGCAGGGGCCCGGCTGATCCCGCCGCGATGCAAGCGACATCCGTGCCGTGGGGAGCCCGGGGCAAAACCGGGATTTAAAAATAAGCCGCTGAATTAATTGCCGAATTGTTCCGGACTTGGTCCGCATTGGACGGTACCGTACAGTCCAGTGACGCAGGCTGTCAGAGCAGTCGTTCTCTTACAAGAGAAGTAGGAAACTGGCCGAGTCTTGTCTGGAAATGTTACCGGTGGTTTTCGTCTTTCCTGTCTTAGATGATTATTTTTTTGAAACTGTGTGGTTTCCCCCTTCATCGCGGTGTTGGCATTCTTTGCGTTTTTAATGTAGCTGTTTTCAAGCGAAGACTGATGATGGCTACTTAACAGAGACGTAAAGAGGCATTTTGTAATGCCCACTCTGCGAATGCGTTGAACATGGAGGTACAGTACTGTGAACTGATAACATCCTTCAGGAGTATTACAATTTGTGGACTGGTGCATTGGGGAGGTAGTGTTGTACATACAAATAGCTAGGTATTTTAAGTAGGTAACATATAAAAACAGCATGCATAACTGGGTTGCAGACATCCTTTTGAATAGGACTGAGATTTTGGAGGATTTTCAGGATTTCTAGAATAAACCGTTCAGATGTTTCACAGTCTTGTCCCAGAGACACATGCAGTTAGACCCTTGTGCCATTGTTTGAGTCGTCCAAGTGGAATCGCTGAGCTGTTTTTATTTTAGTTCCACCATAACTTGGGAGGATTGCGATTCAATGTGGCTCTCAAGTGCATTGTTCCCTGCAGCGCAGGTCAGTGAAATCTGCGGTTTCTCAGCATCGCCAATACAGTCCGCATCTCGGTGAGTAGGAGTAAATGTACTGGAGTCAGTATTGCATTGGAAGCACAGCCCAGTTGAATATTTCTGCTCTCCTCCAGAAGGAAAGAATGTGAATTAGATAGCATTGCTCAGCCTGCCCTGTGCACAGATATCGTACCTCCTGGTGTCCAGGCCTGCACTCACACCCTGTTCTCCACACTGTTGCACGCGCACTGAGCTTGGCTGGGGTCGTCCACTTTGTGGCGGTGGAGTTCAGGACACAGTCAGCTCGCAGCTGCAGTTCTCCAGCTGGGGAACTAAAAGCGTCCATTGTGAGCTCCCTGTCCAGGAAGCGCCGCTGTGTGAGGCCGGTGAAATGTGGGAAGTTTCGGAATGTAAGCAGTGCTTCACGGGAAGTGAGGGACACGGAGGAACAG